TGAATTCGAGCACCCTATAACATAACAGAGTATTATCAGGGTGGTATTTGAATCGATTAAATATATAACAGAGTATTATTATTAATTTCAGTAATTTTCAATAACTAGCAATTTATTAATATTAGTATTAATAGTAATAGTAATAATAATAATAATAATAATAATAATAATAATAATAATAATAATAACAATAGAACAATAATAAAAATGAATTCGAGCACCCTATAACGTAACAGAGTATCATTAGGGTGGTATTTGAATCGATTAAAGTTCCAACAACTGTTTCCGAAACAGTTGCAAATATTTTCACCGCAGAGCGGATCGAAATGAAGGAAACGCGAAGTCTATCTGGAAAGAGAAATGTTCACGTTGCCTAGTTCACCCCGGCCCACAGGTGGGTGGTAACGACCACGTTGGTAAACTATAGGTTATAGGGGCGCGCTAGTGGCACCGGGGGTTGTTCAGGCACCTGTTACGGGTGACCGAAGTATTGCGCAAAAGTGTGCAGATTACTTTCATTGTCGGAAAGTTCGACGACGGCAGTGGCTCCCTAGAAGTTGCCACTCGCGGAACAGGAGTTTTAATGAGGTGCCCCGCCCCTCCCACCCCCTGCTGCTCGTGTCGTCAACAAGTCACTCCTTACCGCGCGCTATAAACGAATAATTGGGAAATTCGAAAAGTTTCGGCCGACAGGAAGTTTTCGTTAACAATCTGAGAATCTTGCGTTTTCTCGAAAATTCAACGCATTCTTCGAAACGGAATGTGTTCGCGCGTCTGTGTGTATGTGTTGCATATAATTGCTGAGACAGGGGTTGACTTCTTGCAAGAATTTTGTTTTCATAGAGCATGTTTGCAACAATTTTATTCCTTAAGGTTATTTTGAGAAATTATATTATTTTATTAGCGATAATATTATTTTATATTATTATTTTGTTACTAGTCGTTTATTTGTAGTTTGTACCGTGTATACACTGACGCATAATTTGTTTATCGTTGTCAGTTGGGTATATGTTCTTATATTGTTATTTATTGAAATACTACAAGATTTTGTTTTTCAGTTTTAGATGGAAGAATATCTTGAAAATAACGTTTTCTGCAGGATATGTTAAAAATGATGGTTTGAAATAATATTGTCTGTAGGATATGTTAAAAATAATTGATTGAAACAATATTTTCTGTAGGATATCCTAAAACTGATAGTTTATAATAATATTGTCTGTAGGATACGTTAAAAATAATTGATTGAAACAATATTTTTCGTAGGATATTTTAAAAATAATAACTTAATGTAATATTGCCTGTAGGATACGTTAAAAATAATTGATTAAAACAATATATTCCGTAGGATATCTTGAAAACAATAAATAACATTAAATAATATATTTAAATACACTAAAATCAAGCGGTGTCTCAAACGGTACACCCAATAAATATAAAAGCGAACGAAATAATTAGACTACGTTGATATACATATTTCATAATAAATTCAAGCAGCATCATAAAATATAGGATTACAAAATATAGAATTGTAAAATAAATTGAAGCACAGTTCGGATTATTGAACGCGCTTCGTCGTTCGTCCAGCTGCGTTAAAGCGCATCGACGGAGGAGGACGCGTTGCGGCTGCTGACAATTTATTTTCCATTTTTTTTGTGCTTGCAGAGTGTCCGTTTTCCGACGACGGGATGGAAAGGTTCGCGTGTCCGAACCCGGACAGATTTGGTAGATATCACTGCATCGATGATCACGCCTTGTGCGACGGTTTCTTAGACTGCCCTTCAGGCGAGGACGAGGACTTGCAAGCCTGCATGTTTTACAAAACCGTAAGTCTTTAATCAAAATCCGTGATATATGCGTGTGTCTCTGCGTGCGTGCGTGCGTGCGTCTTAGAGTGTGTCTGTTCGTCGTGTGCCCACGTGCGTGTGTTTGTGCGAATCTCAATTTCAGCTGCACCGGCGCCCCCGCGCCAATCAATGCTCTGTAATCTGCTGCAATTCCTACGCGATAAGCGCGGCGCCTCCATTTCCTGATTTACTCGATTCGAAAAAGTTCGAGCGGAACACCATCGGGTCGAACCATAAATAACCTCTACGCCTTGGAGACGGAGAAAATGTCGAGCGCAATGTCCGTTAACTGGGCGCGCCGCGATTTAATTTCGTCCCTTTATGGTCTTTCTGCGGACGGTCCACTTTTTCTCCGCGATCCTTCCGGTTGCGGCGCGAAACGATCCTCGCGAATTTCTTTCCAAAGTTGCGATTTCATTGATATCGTCGTTTTATTTTGATATTTATTTGGCTACGTTTTTGTCGGACAATTTTTTAGACAGTTTTAATTCGTGTCGCTTCTTGCTTTCTTTTCGACGGGGGTGCGTTTCAACGCATATTCAACGATCTTCGCGAATTATTTTCCAAAGTTGTGGTTTCATTGATATCGTCATTTATTTTTGCTATTTATTCGGCCACGTTTTCGTCGGATATCACAATTTTTTAGACAGCTTTAATTCGTGTCGCTTCTTGCTTTCTTTTCGACGGGGGTGCGTTTCAACGCATAATTCAACGATCATCGCGTATTAATTTTTCCAAAGTTGCGATTTCATTGATATCGTAATTTATTTTTGCTGTTTATTGGGCCACGTTTTCGTTGTACATCACAATTTTTTCGACAGCTTTAATTCGTCGGTTCCTGGTTTTTTATTCGACCGCGACAGGGGTGCGTTTCAATAATTCAACGATCTCCGCGAATTATTTCTCAAAATTGTGGCACGATTTAATATTCTAGTCGCAATTTATTTACAGCCACCTTCCTGCTGTAAATTGCAATTTTTACGCAATTAATATTATTAATATTTAATATTTCATTCATTCATTCGTTCATTTTTGATGTTCATGCGATTCTCGTATTTTATGCACATTGATATTAATCAAATGAAATACTGATGGTCGATAATGGCTATTCGCAACCTTGTCATAAAAAACAATCTTCGTCATTCATAATTGTTAATAATATATCGTGGACCTGCATCGTGTTTTTGTAATATAATACGTTTTCGTCGTGCATAATAGCCAACAACTGTTTCCGTCGTTTGCGATAGTTAGTTAACGAATATAGTCCTTAATTATTCAATATTACTATTATTATTATTACTACTACTATTACTATTATTATGATTATTATTATTATTATTTCTATTATTTTGACTATTATTATTATTATTTCTATTACTTTGACTATTATTATTATTATTACTACCACTATTACTATTATTATGACTATTATTATTATTATTATTATTATTTATATTACTTTGACTATCATTATTATTATTATTATTTCTATTACTTTGGCTATTATTATTATTATTTCTATTACTTCGACTATTATTATTAGTATTTCTATTATTTTGACTACTATTATTATTTCTATTATTATTACTATTATAATTATTATATTATCAATGTTATCATTATTATTACTATTACTGTTATTATTAACAGTCATGAATTATTCAAGAAACCCATTTCGAGAAAGAATCTCATGGCTGCGCATCAATTTCGTTCTCGTTCGATTCTCTTTTCCCGTTGAAATATCCAGCGAAGTAACCAGCGAACGTACCACTTTCCTCTGTGCGCGGCAAATAAGAAGCGAAAAAATTCCGCGATCTGCTTCGCAGAGGATCCGAGATTACCGTGCTCGCCGTGAAATCGTATTTCGCCGACAAAACGAGAGAGCACGGCGGGGGAGAAAGAAACGTTAATCCAGCGGTCCCGCATAAAGTATCAGCCAGCCATCGGTTGTATGAACGACGCGGGTCGGGCTTGTATTCATAGTCGACGATATCGCGAACACGAGCGAACACGAGCGAGCGCGCGCGCGCGGGCGGGCGGTTCATTAAAATTTCTCCGGCGCTCAGCCGGGGATGACCTTTTTAAAGAAGAAACGCTCTCGATCTCCGGCGTGGCGCTAATTTTCCCGAGCAATCAACCCTTCCCCCGGCACATTCCGGGTCGCCCGTAAAGTCGCGGCGAATAAACCGCTCTCTCTTTCTCTCTCGGCCCGAAGAGAGGAGAGACGAAAAAAAAAAGAAGAGAGAAAAAGAAATCTCAATTCAGTCGCCGGTGTCTGGCGAGAGAGCTTAAATCGTTGAATGGCAGAGATCTGCTTAATTCAACCGGCGCGGAGGCAAGAAAAGAGTTCTTACCCCGGCGGCGCGCCGGGTTAAAAAACAACGCGACGCGAGCGGAACGAGGGTGAAACGAAACCGCCCCGCAAATGGAGCCGATGTAATAGCGTTTATGCTCTTCCGTCGGAAGTGGAACGCGCCTCGGCGAATACATACGTCCGATATATACGTACATATATTATTTTCATCATTTGAACTGTTGCTGTTGTTCTCGCGGAATTTTATTTTCGCAGCTCGTATTTCAGACGCGCTGCAATTGTTCTCTGGTTCAGATGCGACTTCATTTTTCTCCCTTTCTCGGTTAATCTTCGCGTTCTTCTTTCTCTTTTAGGACGTGCATATTATAGACTGTGTCTTCATTATTTTTCTTCCTACTTTCGCTATTTTATTATTGCGCAGAGATATTTTTATTAATTTTGTTACTGCACTTTGTTTTAATCTTCTCTTCTTACTTTCTCTATTTTATTATTGTGGTATATTATAGTTTTATTAATTTTATCATTGCACTGTGGCTTAATTTTTTCTTCTTACTTTCTCTATTTTATTATCGCGCACAGATATTTTTATTAATTTTATTACTGCACTTTGTCTTAATCCTTTCTTCTTCTTCTATTTTATTGTTATTGTGGACGTATATTTTTATTAATTTTATCACTGCACTTTGTCTTCATTTTTTTCCTCTTACTTC